TCCATTTGATCTTTTCCACTCAATTCACACAAACCTCATATTGACTCAATTTGCACATGATTGATAAAACAATGAAATTTACAATAAGTAGTTCTAAAAGAAGGAATTACCTTGGAAACCCATGAGGATTCATAATTAAATCAGGGCAAATGCCACGCTCAGAAAACGGGAAATCTTCCTGCTGGACAATGGTACCACAAACACCTTTCTGTCCATGTCTGCTACTAAACTTATCACCAACCTGCATAAATGAAAATATATTTTAGAGGATCCTAAAAGGTAAGCACAAGTATCTTAGATGACAAAACAATCTCTTGCCTCTGGTCTGCGAGTATGACGAATTAAGAATTTGAAACATAAGTTATTATGTTTATCAGAACAAAGAGCCACTTTATCGACCACACATGATTCCCCTTGAGGCCCATCATATCTTTGTGGAACAGACTTAAACTCGCTGCATAAGAAAATGGGTGTAAGGAAATGATACAATCAGAATCCTAGTTTGAATATGCAGGGCAAACAAAGTAGCCAACCTATCATTTAATGCTGATTTAAATTGCCCCCTTGTGACAATAGGGACCTGTTTATTTATTAAGATGTCATTTCGTCTAATAATTTCCCCAGGTGCAGCAAGCCCATCATCATCCAGCACCTATAAGAAATGCAATTCAAGACAACTATAAAGATGTTGACCAAACTGAACCGGAGAAGAGACATATAAAGACTGCAGTTAAACAACAAATATAAGAAGTTAAGATAATTGCACCACCACACCATGTAGGTAGAGGTACAAGGATTTAAGGAAAGGGAGGGAAGAGGGCTTTGCATTACCCGCATCGGTCCAGAATCAAAACCATCTCTATTGGGCCTCAGTATTCTGTCTTGTGTGTTATTATCATATTTTTGATTCACCGCGCAATACCTACTCAGAAACATCTTCTGTAAGTAACCATAAATATCCAAACACTTGAGCAACCAACAGTGTACGGCAAAGTTGTGATATTGTTGTATGCAGTCACCAATGACAATGAAGTTGGGTACCTTTTCATATGAATACAACGACCAAAACCACGATCCAAAGATGCCTTGTTCATGACTATTGCGTCTTCTATGTCGTAGCCACTATAACTCATCACAGCAACAGTTGCATTCTGCCCAGCTCCAAGTTTATCATAGCCCACCTGAAGAAAAAGTGATTAATTTACCAACTACAGTTGCAACAGCAACCCAAATAGAGTATAGGGTATACTAACCAACTCAATGGTCTTTGTTGTCAATAATGGCCGTTGAGGATACACCAGAAGGTAAAGCAATGAGTCCATTCGATGTAGCTACAAAAAAAAAAAAAAAAAA